TCCTGTAAGTTCTTACACAAGTGGGTTCTTGGTAAAAATCTACTTTCAGATTTCACTGCCTTATTTGTTTCCATACTTCTTACCATGTCCCTCTTTGTGAGAGACACTGGTAATGAGTCAGGAGTCAGGTGGCAGAGTGGAGTTAAGAGGAGGGTGGCTTTTGGGAATGCCACCAGCAGCTGAACTGAAATGTTTACAGGTCTTCCCTTGATGTACACTCTTGGTTTTTATGGGTCTGATTTGGTTAGAGGGTCAGGCCTCCATGGCCTGAAGTGAAAGATAGATGAGTTATGATAAAATACAAGAACTCAGTGAGAGCAGAAGGAAAGAATCATAGCCTTGTCCACAGAAATGGTAAAAATGCAAATACATTTCTGTGAACTTAAAGAATATAACTGTGCTGGAGTTTAGATTTTCTGTTTAGTACTAATAAGGTGGAAAATGCATAGCATTTAACATGGTTATAATATTATAACCAAGCTCATTTTCAAGGTCTTATTCTGGGTTCATTTTTTTTTTTAATAGTTTACACTATCATTGAAAACACAGGAAAAAAAAAAAAAACCTGGCAATTACTGTCATACATTTTAGCTTCTTGCTAATTAATTATGGCTTCCCAGAATTGAGTCTGTGGATCCAAATGAAATGAGCCATCCCATGGGAACTGTAGTTCCTGATTAGGTAGAAGAATTCATTTAATTTTTCAGGACTTGGTTGTTTTGTTTGTTTTGGTTTGGTTTGCTTTGTTTATTTTTGTAGCTGATTTATCTTGAGCTGGTATTTGTAAAATATGGGGTGGGCCCCTTAGGGAATCTTTCTTCATCCACACTGAAGGGAGCCATATTGCCTTCACTAGGATTGATGAATGTCCTCCTTCACGAAGGAGGATGTTTCCCTGCTGCACCCACAGGGGTCTGTTTCCCTAGTGACACGGAATTTATTTTGCTGGTCAAACCCAGCACCTACTGAAACTAGAGTAAGGCCATGTCAAGCAGACGGCCCTGGAGCATAACTGCTGTCACTCACTCCAGCTTGCAGTGTTTCCTGGGCCCCATGTTGGGATGGAGATGGTGTCATCCCCCTGATGACTGCATCTCACCACAGTGGAGTCAGCTTTCTGAACATGCTATGTGGAGTCTAGCCAGATGACTTTTCTGGCTTTGGCTCCCATGATTTTTTTTAACCCTGAGCAATCAAGATAAATAAAACACAGAAAGGCAAAATTCACAGCTAGTCCAAAAGAATCATGCAGCTGTATTGAATTGACAACCCTCTATAAGCAAGCTGAGGTACCCAAGGTAGAAATTTTTGCAAGCTTCTTCTGTTTCTTTACTTTTTAGTAAAGCTTTGCTTTACTAGTTGTGTGTTTTGCATGCAGACTGAAAATATCAAAAGACTACCAACATCCTAGCCCACTGATTACATAGGACAGGAAACCACCAGATCATGCTAGTGATTAGTCTGCCAGAAGAGGTGTCACTAATATTGGGAGAGAGTTCTCTAGGATTCTCCTGCGTTTCTGCGTGTTGTAAGGGAGGTGCCTACTCTACCCTTTTGTTCTGGATGATCGTTTTAAGGAGATCATAGAGCAGATCTGCTTATTATCCAGTATCATGAAGACAGTATCCCCCTTGAGGACAAAAGGAAGGTTTGCCTACAGCTGCTTATTGAAGATCTGGGTTCCCAGGGTTCAGAGTCCTCAGCTGTGGTGCAGACCCACCACAGGTGTAGCATGTAGCTTAGTTCATCTGCTTCATCCCATAGTTGTTGGGGAGCAGGGGGAATGGCATGGTCGTGACGTCCATATTTCATTCTGCCTGGGCTCTGAGTTACACAGTTCTTTGTCTCTGACCCAGGAGTCTTGTGTCTTCTGCCAGCATCCATGAGACTGTAGCATATTAACCTGTTAACTTGCAAGCAGGGTGAAGTCTCAGACCCTCCACCATTCTTGCCAATTACCCTAGTACTACAGAAGAGCCTCCTTTCATAAAAATTGGTGGAGAGAGTGCTGAAATTCACCAATGTGACATATATATTTAATACACAGAGTTGATAATTCGTATTTTCGTTTTATCACCCCATGTGAAACACTGGAATTTTCCAAATACCTGTAACTTTTTATACTGTTATCTACAAACATCCCTTCCCCTCAATAAAAAGGATTTTGGCTTTTATCTGGCTGACTTCTATCTGGTATTAGAACAGTTTGTGATTTGTTAGCTGAACATCTACCAGTAGTTTTTTGCAAGCTAAGAAAAAAAATACAAATACTATCTATTTATCTGTATATGAAATACCTTCTCAATAGTCCAGCCAACTCAGCTGTTTTGGAGGAATTATTTTGTGTTATGAGCGGGATTTTTTTTTCATGTCCACAAAAAGTACTTGCAGCTAACTCAGTGTATTTCATAAGGGCCAGTCATGCCCTCCACACTTTTTGTTTAGGCAGTCAGGAATTGCTTTTTCTTAATATCCTTGAACTGACCTCTGAAGGATTTGTAAAATTTCAAAAGGCTGTGTGAAAAGGGTAGCATTCCATGTTTTTTTAAAAAAAAGGGACCAATCAGTATGATGTCCATGCTGCTCCAAGGAAAGACATGGGCTCATAGACGTGATGCCAAGGACATACCTAAACAGGCGCTCATCAGAAGCACTGGACACGCCATCTATTATAGCAAGACTGTTGTCACACCGTCATCTGTGGGCCTGAAGACTGCAGGAAGGAGGACTAATAGGCCACTCGCCCCAGATGGCATAGGTTCTGGTTAACTAGCAGTTACACCGTCTGGGGCTGGTAAGACCCTTGCAATTCAGAAGAGCCTGGGCTCCAGACAGCTGGCTTTGGGACACTTCTCTGTACAGTGGCACCCTTCAGATTTTTGGAGAGTAACACATATTACCAGAGACATGGCATCACTTCCCGATGTGGTAAGTGAGGTATGTTTCAGCTGTCGTCGTCTTCTGAGAGAAGAAACAGAGTTTACTCCCTTTGCCACTGATGTCAGTATAACTCAGTGTTTCTCAAGTGTGCGGCTCCCAGGGCGACAGTAAAAGCATAACCTGCCAGCATGTGAGAAGTGCAAATCATTGGCCCTGACTCAGAACTCCCGAATTAGAGAAACCTGGCGTTGGGTCCAGCAATTTCTAGCCCAGCAGGTGTCTCCGGTGCACACCAGCGTTGGAAGCCACAGGTGTTGCTCACTGTATCTCAGGTCAGAGGAGAAGGAGCCAGTTGGGTTACAAGTAGGGAAAGAATAAATTAAGGGCGGTGCTGCCAAATGTGTAAAGGGATGATGATAGGATTTTGTTAATAAAGCTGTCGATTTTTTTGTTATTTAGGAAAATCTATCCGATGCCTGTTCTATACTGGACACTGTTAAGATGCGAATATGAGTAAGGTATTCCACAATACCTCAGGGGTGGACCATCAGCGGTCTGTGGACAAAATCCCATTTCCTAAATGTTTTTGTAAATAAAGTTGTATTAGAACACAGCCACATCTGGGGCGCCTGGGTGGCGCAGTCGGTTAAGCGTCCGACTTCAGCCAGGTCACGATCTCGCGGTCCGTGAGTTCGAGCCCCGCGTCGGGCTCTGGGCTGATGGCTCGGAGCCTGGAGCCTGTTTCCGATTCTGTGTCTCCCTCTCTCTCTGCCCCTCCCCCGTTCATGCTCTGTCTCTCTCTGTCCCAAAAATAAATAAAAAATGTTGAAAAAAAAATTAAAAAAAAAAAAAAGAACACAGCCACATATATTCATCTGCATGGTGTCCGTGGGTGCTCTTAGGCTACAATGCAGAGTGAGGAGTACAACAAACACCCCCAAAGTCCCACGAAGCCAAAAGCACTTAATATGTGGAGCTTTAACCAAAGGCAAAGTCTAGTGTTTAAAAGGAGATACTTCCCATATTCCAAGTAGTTATACTCAAATGGAGTTGGGGGAAGCGGGGAATATGAGGTGGACAAGTGTTCTTCTGTTATCCAGAGATGCACCTGTATTGAATTTTGGCCGTAGCAGAAACCTGAACTTCATGGATGTGATTATCATGGGAGTGCAAAGACTGTTAGGCAAGAGGCAGAGTGGTTACTGTGCTCAACACCCCAGCGTATGAAGGGTAAAGGGGCGTGTGAAGAAATAGAGACATAACAAGAGGAAGAAATGAAGAAAAAGAAAAAGAAGATTTGGGTTGAGAAGGGAGAATATAAGCAATCAAAAGAATGTGACCTATGTGAAAAGCTAACTTAAGGGAGTGTGTGCAAGACAAGGCTGGAGAAGCCAATTAAGAAGAGAAGTACAGGTGTGGAACATTCCCTCTGCTTAGTGTGGGGCATGGGGCTGGAGTCTCCCAGGGAATTCTGGGACCCTGTTCGGCGGCAGAGAAAGGTTCAGGGAGCGTCTGGGGAGGGTCACACTCTGCTAATCTGTAAGTCTGCGTGTATGCACATTCTTATGTAGAGTACTGTTCCCTAGATTCCTTACTCTGGACCACATCTTTGCTGCTGACTGACCAACTGCATTGTGGTGCTGTAGAAAACTCACTGGGTTTCCCCTTAGGAAACCTGGTTACTTCCTGCTTTCACCTCTGATTGTTTGACTTTGGGCAAATCATTGCTTGGCTCGGCGTCTCCCTTTCCTCATTTGTGAGATACCATTTCAGGCTTCCTGCTGCATTCACACTGGGTTCTTCTATTAGACTCACTTATCATGGAAGGGCGTTGCTAAACCAGGGTCACCGAGCACTTCCCCAGCTCCACGGCTAACAGGGGAAAGGAAGTCAAACACAGACACTTCGACCCTCCTAAAAAGGGGATTGTTGAGTAGGGGCACAAGGGCATTTAGTTTCCTTCCAAAGATTCGATGTGGACTTATTTCTAACTCATACCTCATAATAGATTTCCTCTCTTGCCCAAAGAGTTTGTTTAATGTGAAAATGTTTCCAGAGAGGGGGAAATGGCCAGCTGAGTTCCATGTCTGTGATTTCTGACATAGTTCTCATCCTTCCAGGAATTTTTCTTTAAATGTGGAGCACACCCAACCGCTGACAAGGAAACATCAGTGGCTTTGAACCTGATCACAACAAACAGTCGAGGCATCACCTGCATAACATGTACCGACATCAGGTAAGGATCTGAAGACGCTGTCACCCTCCACATGCTGCTTTCCCGTGGTGGCTTCTCACATAAGCCTCCTCAGTGGTTTCTCCTTCTTGAGGAGTGTCTGCTTTGCTTCGACGCCGTTTGCCCAACGTGGGTATATTTCACTCTCAGACTGTTCAAAGTGCCAAATCATTTGTGTGGTCAGTGGTCGAATAGGATCCCAAGATAGAAAAGAGATGACTTATGTCTAAAAGTAGTGTAATCTTAAAAAATAAACACATGGGTTGATATCGGTGAATTCTAAATGGAAGTAAAACATGAAGCTAGTGTTAGGAATGCCATGACAATTTATGAGCGCCATTTATTCCTGGAATACATGATCCATAACATTTTGTTTGAAGCAATCTCTACAGCCAATGTGGGACTCGAGCTCACAACCCCGAGATCAGGAGTCGCATGCTCTTCTGACTGAGCCAGCCAGGCACCCCAACATTTTATCTTAAAAAGGTCTCTTTCATACACTTCTGTTATTCCACGTAACTTGCCTGTATGTGTGTCGGGGCTTCGCATGTATCCATATGCCCCAAATAAAAGCATGTAGCTAGTTGGGGAAATCTCAGTGAATACAATGGAAGAAAGAACGTGTGGAGATGCCTCGTTGGGAAAACAGGGATAATGACTAGATTTGAATTATAGCTTGGGAGGCAAGGACCGAGTGGAAAACTCTGCGCCTACTTAATCTACAGAGTTGATGTCTGAGAGTAGAATCTCTTACTTTATGTTATTCAAATGAACAGAGTAAAAGAAATTAGCTTTAGTACATATTCTCTGTGGTCCTCTAGAAGCTCAAATTGCAAGAGCGGGGTCTTAGCCCTGATATCAAGAAGAACTTTCTGGGAAATGCCAAAACGCATTCATGAATAAAGTCAAAGAATCCTGCTTATTGCAGACTTTTAAGCAAAGACAGATATATACCCTCGTCATTTCAGGGTTGCCTCTTTGGCCTTGGGTACTGTGTTAGGTGGCCTTTTAGAGTTAACCTTAAACTCTGGGGTTTCGTGATTAGTGGTTATTGATACTTCTAACATAATACTTCTGTCCTTTAATAAATGTAAACAAAACAGGTTGACTAATAGAATCCTAAAATCCTTAACAGCCTCAGTTGGACACACTTGTTTCCAGAAAAGGGAGAAAAATGAGACTTTTTTTTTTTGCTGCTGCATTTTTAGTTTCTGCTGTGAGAGAGAATTCCACAATATTGCCTAAAATGCAGCTTTTCAACATCCCTCGGTAAGGTGAATGATTGCACATGGCTAACATTTTCAACATGCAAAAACAGCTGATTCTTCTGGTCTTTCAGGGAAGGGGCTGGGAGTCCTCAACTGCTCTGAAAGCACCAGGCAATTAATTAACATCACGTCTCCGTTTTTCAAAGGAGAAATGGTTTCTCTCTAAGTCAGAATGCGGCCACCAGCCAGTATTTAAAAACCTTCCATTAAAGTTGTTAAAGATGGCATTTGGGTGTGTGGTGTTGATCGTGTTCCCTTAACTGTGGGCATAGCTCTCTGTGCTTGCCTGCCGCTGAGCTGTCAGCTTTGTATTAGCAGCTCCTAACATCCATTCAGGGAAGAAAGCCACTTCCCAGATGCGCAGGGACAGAACTGCTGAAAAATAATACCGTCTGTGGCAATAAAATCTTTCCTAGTATTATTTTTGGGTGATCTTATAAATAGAAGCTACTGTTTTCAGTTAGACTGAAGTGCGTGTGTGTATATAACCAACCACTTGACTAGATGAGGTCCCTTCTTGTATAAGGCAGCAGGGGGATGCCCTGTATGTAAAATAAAGAGGCCCCCTCCTCTTATACTGAAAGCTCCATGCATAGGGATGTCATAAAAGCCTACATGAGGACACAAGAGTACCTTATGTTGTACTTTGCTGATTGTTATGGTTTTTTTTCCTGCTAATGCTTTCTTTTTTAATTTAGAAGTGATTCACTCACAAAAACAAACACAAAAACTAAAAATGTTAGTTGTTTACCCTCATGGTTAGCAAGATTTGGGTTTAATTCTTTCCAGTATCTTAAATACTTAAGCCTAAATATTTGCATATATATATACATATATATGTATGTATATATGTATATATATATATATTCACACATACATACACTGTGTGTGCATAAACGCTATATGTAATCATTGTATATATAGTTTTGTATCTGGCTTTTTTCCATTTACATTGCATCATGATAAATTTTCCCTGCTATGAAATATCCCATGAAAACAAGTTTGGTTGTTTTTTTTTTTTTTTTTTTTTTTTTTTTAAATAGGCAGCTGATATTTCACCATTTCTCTATTGCTGGTGATCTGAATTATTTCTAATTAAAAATATGAGGTTAAGTGGTGCCTGGGTGGCTCAGTTGCTTAAGCGTCCAACTTCAGCTCAGGTCATGATCTCACAGCTCATTGGTTCGAGCCCCTCACTGGGCTCTGCATTGACAGCTCAGAGCCTGGAGCCTGTTTCAGATTCTGTGTGTGTCTCTCTCTCCTTCCCCTCTCACGTTCTGTCCCTCTCTGTCTCTAAAAAAAATTTTTCAAAATCTATATTAGACTAACTAACATTTAAATTTATATCCTTTTCCAGAAATCATTGACTGCATGTTTTGAATCTAAAAATAGTGTCCTAGAAGTGGTAACAAAAGGTCAATGTTCATGGACATGTTTAAGGTGCCTGATGCATATTGCCAAGTTTATTTCCCTTGTAGACTATGGTTGCCTGTCTTCGAGACGGCTTCCTGCTGCATCTTCAACACTATTAAATGTTCATACTTTTAGTTTTTGCCCATTTGCTAAAGAACATTAATTTCGTCATTAATATTTTTTTTAATTTAAAAAATTTTAAGTAAAAAAACTTCTTTGAGAAAGAGCGCATGCACACACACATGTGAGTGGGGGAGGGGCAGAGGGCGAGAGAGAGTACACGTGTGTGTGCGCGCACCCATGGGCACGGAGCCTGGTGTGGGGCTGGGTCCCATAACCCTGGGCCGTAGTCAAGAGTCAGATGCTCAACTGATTGATTCACCCAGAAGCCCCAATATTTTTTAAAAATTGTTATTAGCAAGTTCGAGCATTTCTCCCTTGCTTGTTTGCATTTTTTTTTTTTTGCATTTTCTATTGTGAGACAAAAATGCAAAACTCTCTCAATATGAAATTTTTTTTTTCAACGTTTATTTATTTTTGGGACAGAGAGAGACAGAGCATGAACAGGGGAGGGGCAGAGAGAGAGGGAGACACAGAATCGGAAACAGGCTCCAGGCTCTGAGCCATCAGCCCAGAGCCCGACGCGGGGCTCGAACTCACGGACCGCGAGATCGTGACCTGGCTGAAGTCGGACGCTTAACCGACTGCGCCACCCAGGCGCCCCTCAATATGAAATTTTTTGAAAAAAAATCTAAAAAAAAAAACTGGCCTCTGCAATTACTTTCTCACTCAATACATAATATCAGTGTGTCCTTTATTAATATGACATTTCCTGACCTGTGAATTTACATTTAAATATATTTCCTTGGTTTTGGTTTTGAAATATCACATCTTCCTGGAAATAAGTTATTTAATTTCAGAATTGAAAATAAAAATTTGGGGTATCTATTTATATTTTACGTTTCTTTTATTTATTTTTGCATGTGCCTTAATCATACATCATTAGTCAAATTAGGCATAATTAACTACATAATAGATTAAAACCAGAGGGTTAATTTCAAATTCCACTTATTCGTTGCTGGTATATGGGAAAGTGATTGACTTTTGCATATCAGGCTGGTATCCTGCAACCTTGCTATAACTGCTTATTATTTCAGGAATTATTTTGTGGGTTCTTTCAGGTTTTCTACATAGATTATTATGTCATCTGTGAACACACATGGTTTCATGTCTTCCTTCCCTATCCATTTACCTTCACAAGGTAGTTACCTTCCATTCCTAGTTTTCAGACAGTGTTTATCATGAATGGGAGTTGGACTTTGTCAAATACTTTTTCTGTATCTACTGATATTATATGGTTTATCTCTTTTAGTCTGTTGTTTAACCTGTTTTAGTTTGTGTTGGATTACATGAATTTATTTTTGAATGTTGAATCAGTTTGCATACCTGAGTTCAGTCCCACTTGACTATGGCATATATCTTTTATGCTTTTTTGTATTTGATTCATGAATATTTTGCTGGGGATATTTGCATCTTTGCTCAGGAGAGAGATGGTCTGTAGTTTTCTTATATTGTCTTTGTCTGGTTGTAGCTTTAAAGTAATTCTGGCTCATGGCATGTGTTAGGAAGTATTCATTCTGTTTCTGTCCTTTGAAAGAGTTTGTAGAGAATTAGTAGCAAGGTAAAAATTTTATTTATTGTTGTGCTGTACAAACATGTACTTTTGTGTAAAAAGAGATTGACATCACTTTTGTCTACCTTCTTAACAATACTTCTCAACAGGTGTATAATAACTTATATTCAAGGGTCTCCAGTGCCACTAAGCTAACTTTTTGACCTTAGAAAAATAACATAATCTCTTGGGCCTTCAGGTTGCTTACAAAATCCAAGAATTGGAATAGGTAATCTATAGGGCTCTGACTGGTTTTAAAAGCTTGCAAAAGGTAGGAGCAGTGCTTTTTCACAGCTTATAAATCGATAGTACCATTTGAGAAAACACTCATTTGTGGTCCTGCCTGCTGACAGATGCAGAAATAAAAGATGAGGTTTTCAGTGACACTCCCTTCCAGAGCCCACATATGTGGTTATGATATGTACAAAATATATATAAGATAGCGGTGTTCTTCCTTTCCAGATGTTAGGCTGAAAATTTCATTCAGGTACACAGTTTGTGTCCTTTTGATAAGGGAGTGGGGGGCAAGCTGAGGGCAGAGGACAGGCTAACAGCGCCTCTCTGCCACCAGGTGGGATCTGTGTGATATTCCTCGGACACTCCTGGCTACCCGAGAGCAAAGGAAAGAGGTTTAACTGCTTGCCATGGTG